GTAGGGCTTTAAATGTATTGCACCTGATTGATTAAAATAGAGGCAAATCTGTTCCAACACACACGAGACACAACTGATGGTTTCTGTGTGGACACACTGTTAGTTTTTGAAGCTTACACATATAACACAATATTTTTAATGAGTTTTTATTGTGTCCATTCTACTTTTCTATTATATATTATGTTGCTGCTCGTTTCAAGCACAGCTACTTATAATTGATGGCCCATGAAGTACCTCCTGTTGTTGGCATTGGTGTTTTCTGTCTGTTACCTTCTGCTTGGCTCGACTGGGTATAAACAACCTCAGGTCTGTTTACATCTGCTTGGAATCCCCTTCAAGTCATATTTAACTTTGTATAAAGGTTTATGCATGTCAGGTTCAGGTAGGTATTCTTTGGATATTTTTCTGGCTTGGGTTCAACATTTTGGACTTGTGAAGACCTCTACCTGTGTGTTTTCTAGTGGCCACATGCATCCGCCAAGTGACAGGTGACTTTAGAAATATAGATACTCACCTGCATTTGCACTTGATGAGGTATCTGGGTAGAAACAACCCCCTCTGGTGGCTGTCCAAAAGTCATAAAATTGCAGTTACATTTGTAATTCTTTATATGTTGGCACTAAATGAATGGACCCATTGCAGACCTGCCTTGATCACTTTGAACTGTTTGAACTCAGAACTTCTGACCTCCCTGGCTCTTTGACAGTGGGGGCTTGTAATTGTAAGAGAGTTTTGTGCAGGCGTTGTTTGGGGTTTTAGGGGTACTTGTTTCCTGCTAGGGATCAGGATTTTAGGACAATGCAGGCCTTGGGGTTGGATGACTAAGAATGCATCAGAGGAAATGGGTGCATGTGTGTGTATTTGAGAGGTTTTAGCCAGAGCTTGTTGACATTGCAGGGCTTTTGGTAAGAGGGCTTGTTAGGTTGTGTGGTTACTTGTTGGGTTCATGTTGCAGGCAAAGGTCACAGTGCCGGACCTGGTGTGTCTACACACACATGCACACACATATGTTTATTCTTATTCCTCGTCAGGACTTTACACTGATTTGCATTCATTTCCTGGAGATTTACCCTAACCCTAACCATAATCCGTACTTGTCTATGCCTACCCCACCAACCTTCCTCCTAACTTTAAACCAAGTCATCACCCTAAAATCAGCATCTGGCACCCATGAGGAAGGCTGAGTTCCCATAACGTGAGTGTGTAAACAGGTTTCAGACCCAACTATGTGAGTAATACCAGGAGAAACAAACAGGAATATATTACTGTTGCTGTGTTTTCAAGTGTTTAGGATTCTCCACTGGAAGCCATAAATGTAGTTAATCTCAGGCTCATTTAGATCACTGATTTTCCTGTTCCTGTGTTAGTGTGTGTGTGTGTGTGTGTGTGTGTGTGTGTGTGTGTGTAAAATCAAGAGCCAAGCATCTTAATGACGCCTTCACTACATCTGTCATTGTCTGAATGGCTACTAGCCTTTCAGCCTCTGTCATCCCTATTATCTACCACAGATTTCACCTATCACCCCTGCTGGGAAATGCTATAAGCCCAGAATGTCTGAGTGTTGTGAGGGAGGGCAGTGGTGCGACAGGAGCAGTTAGCTGGTCAATTCTTTCTATATGATATTTGCTGTGGTATGGGGCTTTTTGTGACAGGAG